ACTCCCATTGACTCCCATTGACTCCCATTGACCCCCATTGACTCCCATTGACTCCCATTGACCCCCATTGACCCCCATTGACTCCCATTGACTCCCATTGACCCCCATTGACTCCCATTGACCCCCATTGACTCCCATTGACCCCCATTGACTCCCATTGACCCCATTGACTCCCATTGACCCCATTGACTCCCATTGACTCCCATTGACCCCCATTGACTCCATTGACTCCCATTGACTCCCATTGACCCCCATTGACTCCCATTGACCCCCATTGACTCCCATTGACCCCATTGACTCCCATTGACTCCCATTGACTCCCATTGACCCCCATTGACTCCCATTGACCCCCATTGACTCCCATTGACCCCCATTGACTCCCATTGACCCCCATTGCCCCCAGACCTGGGGCAGGCGCAGGGGGAAGCGCTGGGGGTGGCGGAGGCCGCGCTCGAGCTCCCCCTGGCGGACGCAGGCGTCGCTGCGGCCCCCACAGAAGCCCCGGCAGGGCCGGCAGCCGCCCCCCCCCCGCGCCGAGCCCACGTGCAGGGGGAGGCAGCGCTCGCACTGGGGGCCCTGCAGCGGGAGGGGCAGAGAGCCATGGGGATACATAGGGACACAGGGGGACACACAGGGACCCATAGAGACACATAGAGACCCATAGGGACCCATAGAGACACATAGAGACCCATAGAGACCCATAGGGACCCATAGGGACACATAGAGACCCATAGAGACACATAGAGACCCATAGAGACCCATAGAGACACATAGAGACCCATAGAGACACATAGAGACCCATAGAGACCCATAGAGACACATAGGGACACATAGAGACCCAGAGAGACCCATAGAGACACATAGAGACCCATAGAGACTCATAGAGACCCATAGAGACCCATAGAGACCCATAGGGACCCATAGGGACACATAGAGACCCATAGGGGCACATAGGGACCCATAGAGACCCATAGAGACCCATAGGGACACATAGAGACCCATAGAGACCCATAGAGACCCATAGAGACCCATAGAGACACATAGAGACCCATAGAGACCCATAGAGACCCATAGAGACCCATAGACCCCCATAGAGACCTATAGAGACCCCTTAGGCACCCCTTAGGCACCCCATAGAGACCCATAGAGACCCATAGAGAGCCATAGAGACCCCATAGAGACTCATAGACCCCCATAGAGACCCATAGAGACCTATAGACACCCCATAGTGACCCCATAGCACCCCATAGAGACCCCATAGAAACCCATAGAGGCACATAGAGACCCCATAGAGATCCCATAGCAACCCCATAGAAACCCCATAGAGACCCATAGAGACCCATAGACACCCCACAGAGACCCACAGAGACCTATAGAGACCCATAGACCCCCCGGTGCCCGTACGTGGGTGTTGTGCCTGCAGTGGGAGCAGCGGTGCCGCAGGCCGGGCCCTGGGCAGTGGCCGTGGCCGTTGCAGGCGCAGGCGACGGCGCAGGCGGGGCCCACGAAGCCGAAGGGGCAGCGGCAGCGCCCGGGGGCCTCGCAGGAGCCGTTCCCACAGCCCCCGGGGCAGAGCGGGAGGCACGGGGAGGAGGCGCTGCGGAGAGCACGGCAGAACACGGGATAACATGGGATAACATGGGGTAACATGGGAGAACATGGGGTAACATGGGGTAACATGGGGTAACATGGGATAACATGGGGTAACATGGGGTAACATGGGGTAACATGGGATAACATGGGAGAACATGGGGTAACATGGGGTAACATGGGGTAACATGGGATAACATGGGATAACATGGGATAACATGGGGTAACATGGGGTAACATGGGGTAACATGGGATAACATGGGGTAACATGGGATAACATGGGGTAACATGGGGTAACATGGGATAACATGGGATAACATGGGGTAACATGGGGTAACATGGGGTAACATGGGATAACATGGGGTAACATGGGGTAACATGGGATAACATGGGATAACATGGGGTAACATGGGATAACATGGGGTAACATGGGATAACATGGGGTAACATGGGATAACATGGGGTAACATGGGATAACATGGGATAACATGGGGTAACATGGGATAACATGGGATAACATGGGATAACATGGGATAACATGGGGTAACATGGGAGAACATGGGATAACATGGGAGAACATGGGATAACATGGGATAACATGGGATAACATGGGATAACATGGGGTAACATGGGATAACATGGGAGAACATGGGATAACATGGGGTAACATGGGATAACATGGGATAACATGGGGTAACATGGGGTAACATGGGGTAACATGGGATAACATGGGATAACATGGGATAACATGGGGTAACATGGGATAACATGGGGTAACATGGGATAACATGGGAGAACATGGGATAACATGGGATAACGGGGTAACATGGGATAACATGGGATAACATGGGGTAACATGGGATAACATGGGATAACATGGGATAACATGGGATAACATGGGGTAACATGGGATAACATGGGATAACATGGGATAACATGGGGTAACACGGGATAACATGGGGTAACATGGGGTAACAGGGGGTAACACGTGAGAGCATGTGGGAACATGCGATAACACCGGTGAACACACGCAGCAAGGCCCCCTCCCCTTGGCCCCGCCCCCTCCCCTTGGCCCCGCCCCCTCCCCTTGGCCACGCCCCCTCCGTGGCACTCACTTGGGCCGGGTGTAGCCCCGCCCACAGGGCTCGCACGTGGCCCCGCCCCCGCACTCCTCCTCAGGGGGGCAGCGCAGGAAGGACCAGGACTGGCAGGGGGGGTCTGGGGCTGGAATGGGACCCATAGAGACCCATAGAGACCACATAGAGACCCCATAGAGACCCATAGGGACCCCGTAGGGACCCATAGGGACCCATAGAGACCCATAAACGTGGACACCCCATAAGCTGCTGATAGCCCCTCAAAGCTCCCATAACCACCCCGTAGCCCCATAACCCACCCCATATCACCCCATAACCACCCATAGCACCCCATAACCCCCCATTTCACCCCATAATACCCCACATATCACCCCATAACCACCCATATCACCCCCATAACCCCCCTATATCACCCCATAACCCCAACATATCACCCCATAACCCCCCCATATCACCCCATAACCCCCCCATATCACCCCATAACCCCCCCATAACTCTCCCGTATAACCTCATAATCCCCCATACCCCCCATAACCATCCATAGCACCCCATAACCCCCACATAGCGCCCCCCCCACCCCAGTATTATACCGCCCCCTAGCGGCGCCGTTACCGTCACGTGGTCCCCGCAGGGCCCCCGGCAGGCAGCGGCCGGCCCCGGCCCCGCCCCCGCACCACCCGCAGTGGGCGTGGCTCAGGCAGGCCCCGCACGCGCGCGCCCCCTGGCAGCCGCCCCCGCACTCGAGCGCCCCCCAGCGGAGGGAGCCGCAGGAGCCGGCCCCGCACAGGAGGGGGAGGAGCCACGGGGACAGGCACTGGGGGGAGGGGAGGGGGCACAGAGGGAGACTGAGAGACGCATAGGGACCCATAGGGACCCATAGAGACATATAGAGACGTATAGGGACCCATAGAGACCCATAGAGACCCCATAGAGACCCATAGGAACCCATAGAGACCCATAGAGACCCCACAGAGACACACAGAGACCCCATAGAGACCCATAGGGACCCATAGAGACCCCATAGAGACCCATAGAGACCCCACAGAGACACAGAGAGACCCATAGGGACCCATGGGGAACCATAGAGACCCATAGAGACCCACAGAGGCCCACAGAGACCCATAGAGACCCATAGGAACCCATAGGGACCCATAGAGACCCCATAGAGCCCCCATAGATACCCCATAGAGACCCATAGAGACCCATAGGAACCCCATAGAGACCCATAGAGACCCATAACCCCCATCCCCTCCCCACCGCGCCCTTTGGCGCCCCCTGGCGGCCTCACCTGCCGCAGGAGGGGGCTCCAGGCGCAGGCCCCACCCCCTCCGCCCACGCAGGCGCTGCAGGAGCTGCGGTTCCCGCAGGGGGCGGGGCAAGGCGCAGGCTCCGCCCCCGGCGCCAGAGCGAGGCTGAGGCAGGACCACGGGGGGGAGGGGCCGGGGCTCAGCGAGGGCAAGGGGGGGTCTGGGGGGGGAAGGGAGGGAGGGAGGGACACATAGGGACCAATGGGAGCACATCAGGACCCATAGAGACCCATGGAGATCAATAGGGACCCCATAGAGACCCATAGGGACCCATAAGCACCCATAGACACCCATAGCGACCCAGAGACACCCATAGAAACACCAGAAATCCATTGAGACCCCATAGACCCCCTATAGCGCCCTCAAAGCCCCCCATATTACCCTGATAGCCCCCCATGGTCCCCCATACCCTCCTATAGACCCCCATATTCCCCCCATAGCCCCCCATAGAGCCTCAAAGCCCCCTGTTGCCCTCCCATAGACCCCCCATAGACCCCCCATACCCTCGTATAGACCCCCATATTCCCCCCATAGGCTCCCCATAGACCCACCATAGACCCGCATAGCCTCCCATAGACTCCCCATAAACCCCCCATAGCCTGCCCATAGCCCCCCATTGCCCCCCCATAGACACCCATAGACCGCCCATAGACTCCTATAGACCGCCATATTCACCACAGAGCCCCCCCTAGACTCCCCATAGCCCCCCCATAGACCCTCATAGCCCCCCATAGACCCCCATAGACCCCCATAGCCCCCCATAGACCCCCATAGCCCCCCATAGACCCCCATATTCCCCTCATAGCCCCGCCCCCCGCATTTCCCGCCTTTAGCGCCCCCTGGCGTCCCGCGCTCACCGGTGCCGGCGGGAGCAGAGCCGGGGGGCGGGGCCCAGACGCAGCCGGGCCGGGCGGAGCACGTGACGCAGTCCGGGGCCGAGCACGTGACCTCCGGGCAGGAGGCGGGGTCGAGCGCGGGGGCGGAGCCAGAGGGGATGCAGCGGCCGCCGGACCACGTGCAAAGAGGCGGGGCCTGCGGAGGGGGGGGCGGGAGTGAGAAGGGGCGGGGTCAGAGGAGAGAGGGTGGGGTCAAAGGGAAAGGGGGCGGGGGCTGGGGGGCCATGGGCATCTATGGAGCAGGGGGAGCTATAGGGGATCTATGGGGTCTCTAGGGGTGTCTATGGGGTGTCTATGGGTGTGTATGGGGTGTCTATGGGTCTCTATGGGGTGTCTGTGGGTGCCTATGGGGTCCCTATGGGGTCTCTATGGGGCTCTATGGGGCACTGACCCCCTCCGCCTCAGCCGGGTGCTGCCCCACACATTCACTGCAGCTCAGGCGCTGGTCGCAGGGGGGGGAGGGGTCACAGGAGGCTTCGGGGTCACAGCCGGGCCTGGGGGAGGGGCATGGGTGTCTCATTTGCATCTCATTTGCATACCCCTCCCACCGCCATGGCCCCCCATTGACCCTGTTAACCCCATAACCCCCCTTGCCCCCATTGACCTCCATTGACCCCCATTAATCCCATTTCCCCCATTGCCTCCCATTACTCCCATTGCCCCCCCATTCCTCCATTGACCCCCATTGCCCCCATTGCCCCATTCCCCTCCATTGACCCTATTACCCCCATTGCCCCCATTACCCCATTCCTCCCATTGTCCCCCAATTCCCCATTGATCCCCATTACCCCTATTGTCCCCCATTACCCCCCATTGCCCCCATTACCCCCATTCCCCATTACCCCCATTCCCCTCCATTGAGCCCCGTGCCCCCATAGCCCCCATTCCCCCCCACTGCCCCCCATTCCTTCCATTTCCCCATTCCCCCATTCCCCCATTACTCCCATTACCCCCATTGCCCCCCATTACCCCGTTCCCCCCATTGCCCCATTTTCCCATTGCCCCCCATCCCCCCATAGCCCCCATTCCCCCCCCATTCCCCCCATCCCCCCCCATTGCCCCCCCTTACCCATCTCCGCCCTGGCCTCCGCTCCAGCAGGGGGCGCTCTGCACCCGCAGCTCCCCCCAGCGCCCCAGGGCGGTGCCGTCGAAGCCCCCGGACACGAAGAGGCGCCCCCTGGCGGCGGCCGCCGCGTGCCACTGCGAGCGCGGGAGAGCGCCCCCCCGCAGCGCGCGCCCTGCCCCCCCCCGTGACGTCAGCGCCTCCGCGGGGGACACGCCCACTACACATGCACGCACCCCCTCCCCCACCCCCTCCCCGGGCAGAGCCCCATTGCACCCCATAGGGACCCATGGAGACCCATAGAGACCCCATAGAGACCCATTGCACCCCATAGAGACCCATTGCACCCCATAGAGACCCATTGCACCCCATAGAGACCCACTGCACCCCATAGACAGACCCATAGTGCCCCATTGCACCCCAGAGGGCCCCATTGCACCCCATAAACACACCCATAGCACCCCATTGTACCCCATAGCGCCCCATCAGACCCTATGGACAGACACATAGCACCCCATAGCACCCCACTCCCGGCCCTATAGCACCCCATAGCACCCCCTACCCTTCCCCATAGCACCCAACACCCAGCCCCATAGCACCCCACAGCACTCACGGGTGTGCTCGGCTGTGACCCACACATTGCAGCGCACCCCATAGAGCTGCAGCGCATCCGAGGGCTCCCCCGTGGGGCCCTGGCCCCCCAAGAGCACCAGAACATCCCCGAGCAGCGCGGCCGCGGGGAAGACGTGGGGCTGGGGCTGCGGAGGGGGGACAGGGGGGTCACGGACCCATAGAGACCCCATAGAGACCCATAGAGACCCATAGAGACACATAGAGACCCACAGAGACTCCATAGAGCCCCATAGAGACCCCATAAAGACCCCACAGAGACCCACAGAAACTCCATAGAGCCCCATAGAAACCCATAGGGATTCCATACAGACCCATAGAGACCCCATAGAGCCCCCATAGAGCCCCATAGACTCCCATTGCCACCCATTGACCCCCATTACCCCCAATAGCCCGTCCCACCCCCTCCTTAAGCCCCGCCCCCCCCGCTCTCCCATTGGCTGCCGCTCACCCTCTCTCCACGGGCCGGGGCCAGGCGCGCCCACGTGACCGTCCGGCAGCGCAGCCAATAGAGATCGGCCGAGGCGCCCCCTGCCGGGCGCTGCCCGCCCCACACGAAGAGCGCGTCCAAGGGGGCGTGGTAGAGAGCGGTGTGACCCAGGAGAGCTATGGGGGGATGGGGGAGATGGGGGGCAGAGATCAGAGATGGGGGCATATGGGGCAGAGAGGGGCGATATGGGGAGATATAGGGGGATATGGGGGGGTATAGGGGGATATGGGGGGTATAGGGGCATATGGGGGGGATATGGGGGTATGGGGGGTATAGGGGCATATGGGGGGGTAACGAGGGTATATGGTGGGGATATGGGAGAGCATAGAGGGGTATGGGGGGTGTAAGGGGATATAGGGGGCTATAGGGGTCTATAGGTGCTTATAGCAGGGGATATAGGAGGCCTATAGGGATCTACAGGGGGAGATATAGGGGAGAATAGGGGGATCTATAGAGGTCCATAGGAATTAATGGGGGGGCGATAAAGGAGTCTATGGGGGTCTATAGAGAGGCTATAGGATGGTTTAGGGGTGATACAGTGGGACATATAGGTATAGGATGAATATAGGGGGGCTATAGGGGGGTATAGGGCAGATATAGTGGGGCTATAGGGGGCCATAGGAGTCTATGGGGCGCCGCGGTCCTCCTCACCGCCAGGGGGCGTCCCCCGCTGCGGCACCTCCTCCCAGCGGCGCTCCCGCAGCAGGAAGCGGCGCAGGGCGGTGTTGGCCCCGCCCCTCGCCGAGGCCCCGCCCACCAGGAGCAGCCACGTGTCCCCGCGTGCCGTCAACGAGTGCCCGGCCAGGGGGAGGCCGGGGCCCTGCGGGGGGGAGGAGCCATCAGTGCCATTATGGGGCAGGGACCCCCAAGTGTGGGGCAGGGACCCCTAAGTGTGGGGAACTGACCCATAAGTGTGGGGTAATGACCACTAAGTGTGGGGCTGGACCCCAAGTGTGGGGTATTGACTGCTTAGTTTGGGACTGGACCCCAAATGTGGGGCAGTGACCTCCAAGTGTGGGGCTCTGACCCCCAAGTGTGGGGTATTGACTGCTAAGTGTGGGACTGGATTCCAAGTGTAGGGCACTGGGAGTGTGGTGCTAACCCCTGTGAGGCACTGACCCCCAAGTGTGGGGCTGCCCTCCAAGTGCTTCTCTATGGGGTCCCTATGGGTCTCTATGGGTCCCCCCTCACCTCCTCCCGCCGCCATTGCAGCACCCCCAGCTCCAGGACCCAGGCGTCGTCAGCGGCGGCCCCGCCCCTCGTGACCCCCCCGAGCACCATCAGGGAGGGGGCGGGGCCGAGCGGCGCCGCCGCGTGCAGGAAGCGGGGGGAGGGGCCAGGCTCTGGCCCCGCCCCCTCCCCCACCGCCGTCAGCACCTGCGTCCAGCGGCGCTCGTCCAGGGAGAACCTGCGGGGGGAGGGGCGCAGGAGCTGTGGGGCGGGGTAAAGGGATCTATGGGGCACAGTAACGGGTGCTATGGGGGTCAGAAGGGGAGCTATGGGGCACAATAATGGGAGGTGTGGGGCAGGGGACATATGGGGCATAAGAATGGGTGCTATGGGGCAAGGTAAAGGTGGATCTATGGGGTAGGCTGTGTTTCTATGGGGCAGGGATCTATGGGGCAGGGATCCATGGGGCAGCCCCACCTGTGCACGTCCCCCTGGAGGCCGTGGGGCGGGGCCAGGCCCCCGAACATCCAAAGGCTCCCATTGGGGCCCTCGACCAGGGAGTGCCCAAAGCGGCGCAGGAACCCGGAGCCCGAGGCCTGCGGGACCCAGAAAGACCCATAGAGACCCCATAGAGACCCATAGAGACCCCATAGAGACCCCATAGAGACCCATAGAGACCCCATAGAGACCCCATAGAGACCCATAGAGACCCCATAGAGACCCCATAGAGACCCCATAGAGACCCCATAGACCCCATAGAGACCCCATAGAGACCCATAGAGACCTCATAGAGACCCCATAGAGACCCCATAGACACCCATAGAGACCCCATAGAGACCCCATAGAGACCCATAGAGACCCATAAAGCCCATAGAGACCCATAGAGACCCCATAGAGACCCCATAAACCCATAGAGACCCATAGAGACCCCATAGAGACCCATAGAGACCCCATAGAGACCCATAGAGACCCCATAGAGACCCCATAGAGACCCCATAGAGACCCATAGAGACCCCATAGAGACCCCATAGAGACCCCATAGAGACCCCATAGAGCCTCATAGAGACCCCATAGACACTCATAGAGACCCATAGAACCCTCATAGAGACCCACAGAGACCCATAGAGACCCCATAGAGCCCCAGAGACACCCATAGAGACCCCATAGACACCCATAGAGACCCCATAGAGCCCCATAGAGAACCATAGCACCCCATAGAGACCCCATAGGAACATATAGAGACCCCATAGAGACCCATAGAGACCCCACAGAGCCCCACAGATCCCCATAGCCCCTCACCTGCCCCATAGGCTCCCATTCGATGCTCCCTGTCCCCATTGGCTCCGCGCACTCCGGCCCCGTGAACCCGGCCCCACAGACACAGAGGCCCCGGTCCTGGGGGGGGGGCAATGGGGTCGGGGGTGGAGCCTATATCCCCGCCCCTCATTGGCCCCGCCCCAAGTCCCTGCCTCCTCATTGGCTACATCCTTCCTTAAGCCCTGTCGCATTGAGCCCCCACCCCCTCATTGGCCCCTCCCCTCCCTAATCCCCGCCCCTAATCCCCTCCCCTTATTACCCACACCTGTCTCTAAGCCCCACCCCTCCCGAACCCAAGCCCCTCATTGGCCACACCCATTGTCTAAGCCCCTCCCTGCTCCCCACTGGCCGCTCCCCTCCCTAAGCCCGGCCCCCTCGTTCCTGATTGGCCGCCTCCCTTCGAGGCCCCATCCTCACCTGCTCTCAGCGGCTCCACTCCCCTCCTCAAGCCGCGCCCCTGTCCCTAAGCCCCGCCCTCCCCGCTCCTGATTGGCTCCTCCCCTCCCTCCTCGCTCCCCATTGGCCCCGCCCTCACCTGGTCGCACTGGCCCCGCCCCTCGGCCTCCCCGCACCACGTGGGGCAGCGGCGCTGCCGGAGCCCGGCCCCGGGCAGGGGCAGGACCGAGGCCACGAACCCGGGAGCGGCGGCGCCGGAGCGGAGCAGGACCAGGAGGCCTGGAAGGGACCGGAATGGGCGGAAATGGACCCAAAATGGGGCGAAATCGACCCAAAATGGGCTTAAATGGACCCAAAATGGGCGTAAATGGACCCAAAATGGGACGAAATCGACCCAAAATGGGCTTAAATCGACCCAAAATGGGCGTAAATGGACCCAAAATGGGACGAAATCGACCCAAAATGGGCTTAAATCGACCCAAAACGGCCGTAAATGGACACAAAATTGGGCTAAATCGATCCGAAATGGGCTTAAATCGACCCGAAATGGGCGTAAATGGACCCAAAATGGGGCGAAATCAACCCAAACTGGGGTTAAATAGACCTGAAATGGGGTTAAATCGACCCAAAATGGGCAGAAATGGAACCAAATCCCAAAATCACCCCAAATCCCACTGGAATGACCCAAAATGACCCAAACCCCCCAAATCACCCCAAACCACCCAGAATGACCCAAAATGACCCAAACCCCCAAAAGCACCCAAAACCACCCAGAATGACCCAAAATGACCCAAACCCGCAAAATCCCCCCAAATCCCCCGAAATGACCCCAAATGACCCAAACCCCTAAAATCACCCAAAATCCCCCCAAATCCCCCGAAATGACCCCAAATGACCCAAACCCCCCAACCCCGCCCCCCCCTCACCTGACCGCGCCTCCAGGCGCAGGCTCCGGGGCCGCCCCCCCCCGCAGAAGGCCCCCACCAGGGAGGGGTCCCCCAGGAGCCCCTCCCCCCCCCGCAGCAGCGCCGGGAGCCCATCGAAAACATAGGTGAAGGAGAACTGGGGAGAGACCATAGAGACCCATAGGGACACATAGAGACCCTATAGGGACCCATACAGACCCACAGGGACCTATAGGGACCCATAGAGACCCATAGAGACCCCACAGACCCACATAGGGACCCCATAGAGACCCACAGAGACCCCATAAAGACCATAGAGACTTATAGAGACCCCATAGAGACCCATACACACCCCATAGAGACCCATAGAGACCCCGCAGGCCCCCATAGGGACCCCATAGAGACCCATAGAAACCCCATAGAGACTTATAGAGACCCATATAAACCCATAGAGCCCCATAGGGACCCCATAGAGACCCACAGAGACCCCATAGAGACCCATAGGGACCCATAGAGACCCCATGGAGACCCCAAAGACCCCCATAGAGCCCCATAGGGACGCCATAGAGACCCATAGAGACCCATAAAGACCCATGGAGACCCATAGAGACCCCATAGAGGCCCCATAGAGACCCATAGAGACCCATAGAGACCCATAGAGACCCCCTATACCCCCCATATAAGGCACTCACGTGACAGCTCGGGGCGGGCTCCAGCCGCATGCGCAGCCGCAGCACGGGGCAGGGCGCGTGGGGGGGGCAGGGCCGGAGGGCGGGGCCAACGGACACAGCCCATAGGCAGGGAGGCGGCGGAGGCCCCGCCCCCTCGGCCCCGCCCCCGGACCACGTGGTCTGTCCTGGCCCCGCCCGCGCCACCAGCGTCAGCTCCGAGGTGACGTTGGTCAGGAGGTGGCGCCCCCTGCAGGACAGGAGGCACGGCCCGGAGGGGCTGCAGCGGAGATAGAGGAGTACAGGTTACTATGGGGGGGTCTCTATGAGGCTCTATGGGATCCCTATGGGGCTCTATGAGGGTCTATGGGGCTTTATGGGGTCTCTATTGGGGTCTCTATGGGGCTCTATGGGGTCTCTATGGGGTCTCCTCTATGGAGTCTCTATGGGGTCTCTATAAGGTCCCTGTAGGGGCTCTCTATAGGGGGTCTCCAAGGGGTCTCTATGGGTGTCTTTGGGGCTCTATGGGGGTCTACGGGGTCTCTATGGGGCTCTATGGGGTCTCTATGGGGTCTCTATAGGGTCCCTGTAGGGGCTCTCTATAGGGGGTCTCCAAGGGGTCTCTATGGGTGTCTTTGGGGCTCTATGGGGGTCTACGGGGTCTCTATGGGGCTCTATGGAGTCTCTATGGGGTCTCTATAGGGCCCCTGTAGGGGCTCTCTATAGGGGATCTCTATAGGGATCCCTATGGGGGGGTCTCTATTGGGCCCCCCTGCCCCCACTCACCGTGGGTCCTCCCCCTCCGCGGGGGGCGGGGGGGGGCTGGAGCCGTTGCAGCGCCCCCTGGTGGTGACCCCGGAGCAGGGGGGGGCCCGGGAGGAGTCTGGGGGGGAGGAGAGGGGGGGGTTACAGGAGGGTCACGTGACAGACACGATACATGGGCATTACATACATGTTACATGTGACACACGTGCGTGACACACGTGTTACATGTGACTCATGTGTTTCGTGTGTGTTACATGTGTGTTACACACGATACATGTTACATGTATTAAATGTGATGTGGGTATTGCAGGTGTGCTACATACGTGTTACATGGACACATATGGACACACGTGAACACGTACGGACACACATGGGAGACATACGAACACATATGGACACACACGAACATGTATGAACACACATGGGGGTCACACGCATGACCACACGTGTTGCTCACTGCGGCACTGGGGGCAGGCGGCCTCGTCACGCATGTTCCCATCCTGACCCACATCCAGGTCCATGTCCATGCCCATGTACGGGTCCGTGTCCGTATCCGTATCCATGTCCATGTCCATGTCTGGATCTGTGTCCGTACCCATGTCCATGTCCATGTCCGTGTCTGGATCTGTGTCCGTATCCATGTCCATGTCCATATCCACGTCCCTGTATGGATCTGTGTCCGTACCCATGTCCACGGCCATGTCCATGTATGGATCCGTGTCCATACCCATGTCCATGTCCGTGTACGCATCCGTGTTCACGTCTGGGTCCGCATCCATGGCATTGGGGGAGGCGGCGCTGACGTCCTGAGTGCACCTGGGATAACATGGGGTGACACACCCCATAGACCCCCCATAGACCCCATTGCCCGCCATAGACCCCACAGCCCCCACAGACCCCCGATAGACCCGATAGAACCCCATAGACCCCGTAGCCCCCCATAGCCCCTCATAGCCCCCATAGACAACCATAGAGTCCTCTTACGTCGGCGGGCAGAGCTCCCCCTGGTGGCCGCAGGCGGCAGCGCTGGGGCAGCGCCCGTAGGCCCAGGCCCCCCCCGAGCAGTTGGCGCCCCCTAGCGGGCCGGAGAAGTCCCCTTCCAGGCACCTGTGGGGCACAGGGGGGTCCATGGGGGTCTATGAGGAGCTATGGGATCTATGGGGGGCTATGGGGTTCTATGGGGGCCTATGGAGGGCTATGGGGTGTATCGGGGTCTAGAGTGTGCATTGCAGCCTATGGGGGGCTACAGGGTCTAGTTGGGGCTATGGGGTGCACTGGGGTGTATGGGGGGCTATGAGTGGCTAAAGGGTGCATTGGGGTCTGTGGGGTACATTGGGGTCTATGGGGCCTACGGGGGGCTATGGAGTGCATTGGGGTCTATGGGGGTCTATGTGGGGCTATGTGGTGCATTGGGGTCTATGGGGGTCTATGAGGGGCTATGTGGTGCATTGGGGTCTATGGGGGGCTATGGGATCCCTATGGGGTTTGAGGGGTCCCTAAGAGGTTTGGATTCCCCCCAGCTTCAATGCCTTCCCCCTTTATGGGTGCCCCCCCATTGGGTTCCCCCTCACTGGGTGCCCCCCATTGGGTCCCCCCCATTGGGTCCCTCCCATTACTTGGTCACACCCCCATTGGGTCCCCCCCCATTGGGTCCCCCCCCCATTGGGTCTCCCCCCCATTGGGTTCCCCCCCATTGGGTTCCCCCCCATTGGGTTCCCCCCCATTGGGTCTCCCCCCCATTGGGTTCCCCCCCATTGGGTCCCCCCCCCATTGGGTCTCCCCCCCATTGGGTTCCCCCCCATTGGGTCCCCCCCCCATTGGGTCCCCCCCCATTGGGTCTCCCCCCCATTGGGTTCCCCCCCATTGGGTTCCCCCCATTGGGTCCCCCCCCCATTGGGTCTCCCCCCCATTGGGTTCCCCCCCATTGGGTTCCCCCCCATTGGGTCCCCCCCTTGGGCGCCCCCCCCTCACCGCCCGTGCTCCGGGTGCCTCCCGCACCACCCGCACTCGAGGCGCCGCAGGCACTGGGTGCAGGAGCGGAACCGATGGCAGGGCTCACAGCCCGGGGGGGAGTGCACGCTGCGGCACCCATTGACACCCGTTGACTCCCATTGACACCCGTTGACTCCCATTGACACCCATTGACACCCATTGACTCCCATTGACACCCATGGACACCCACTGATACCCATTGACACCCATTGACTCCCATTGACACCCATTGACTCCCATTGACACCCATTGACTCCCATTGACACCCATGGACACCCACTGATACCCATTGACACCCATTGATACCCATTGACACCCATTGACTCCCATTGACACCCATTAACTCCCACTGATAACCATTGACACCCATTGACACCCATTGACACCCATTGAGACCCATTGATACCCATTGCCCCCCATTCTCCCATAATCCCCATCCCCCCCCTGTCCCCATAGCCCCCATTCCCCCCCTTGCCCCCATTCCCTCATTGTCCCCCTTGGCCCCATTGCCCCCATCACCCCCATTCCCTCCCAGTTCCCCCATTGCCCCCATTCCCCCTCAGTGCTCCCCATAGCCCCCATCGCCCCCCATCCCCCCATCCCCCACCTGTCGACCCAGGCCCGGCACCCCCCATAGGGGTACTTGGCCAGGTAGGAGGAGAAGTAGAAGCAGCGCCGGGTGGACCCGCACCAGGCGCAGGGGCTGGGGGGGGCCAGGCACTGCCAGCACGTCCCGCGCCTGCCGTGTGACAGCCCCGCGTTACCCCTCGGATAGCCCCTGGGAGCCCGTGTGATAGCCCGTGTGATAGCCCGTGTTATCCTGTGTTATCCCGTGTGACAGCCCCGCGTTACCCCTCTGATAGCCCCTGGTAGCCCGTGTGATAGCCCGTGTGATAGCCCGTGTTATCCTGTGTTATCCCGTGTGACAGCCCCGCGTTACCCCTCTGATAGCCCCTGGTAGCCCGTGTGATAGCCCCTGGTAGCCCGTGTTATCCTGTGTTAGCCCGTGTGACAGCCCCGCGTTACCCCTCTGATAGCCCCTGGTAGCCCGTGTGATAGCCCCTGGTAGCCCGTGTTATCCTGTGTTAGCCCGTGTGACAGCCCCGCGTTACCCCTCTGATAGCCCCTGGTAGCCCGTGTGATAGCCCCTGTTAGCCCGTGTTATCCTGTGTTATCCCGTGTGATAGCCCCGCGTGATAGCCCCTGGTAGCCCGTGTGATAGCCCCTGTTAGCCCGTGTTATCCTGTGTGATAGCCCCTCTGATAGCCCCTGTTAGCCCGTGTGATAGCCCCTGTTATCCCGTGTTATCCTGTGTTATCCCGTGTGATAACCCGTGTGACAGCCCCGCGTTACCCCTCTGATAGCCCCTGGTAGCCCGTGTGATAGCCCCTGTTATCCCGTGTGATAGCCCGTGTTATCCTGTGTTATCCCGTGTGATAGCCCCTGTTATCCCGTGTGATAGCCCGTGTGATAACCCATGTGACAGCCCCGCATTACCCCTCTGATAGCCCCTGGTAGCCCGTGTGATAGCCCGTGTTATCCTGTGTTATCCCGTGTGATAGCCCGTGTTATCCCGTGTTATCCTGTGTTATCCCGTGTGATAGCCCCTCTGATAGCCCCTGTTAGCCCGTGTGATAGCCCCTGTTATCCCGTGTGATAGCCCCTGTTATATGTTATCCTGTGTTATCCCATGTTACCCATGTGTGATACCCTGTGTTATCCCATGTTATCCCATGTATGATACCCTGTGTTATCCCATGTTACCCACGTGTGATACCCTGTGTTATCCCATGTTACCCACGTGTGATACCCTGTGTTATCCTGTGTTATCCCATGTTATCCCATGTATGATACCCTGTGTTATCCCATGTTACCCATGTATGATACCCTGTGTTATCCTGTGTTATCCCATGTTATCCCATGTATGATACCCTGTGTTATCCCATGTTACCCATGTATGATACCCTGTGTTATCCTGTGTTATCCCGTGTTATCCCATGTATGATACCCTGTGTTATCCTGTGTTATCCCATGTTACCCACGTGTGATACCCTGTGTTATCCCGTGTCCCCCCGGGCACTCACTCGCTGCAGGGGGGGGGGCAGTGCTGGGGGTCGCGGATGGAGCCCTCCCGGCGCCCCCGGCGGCTGCACACGAAGTCCCCGCTGCGGCCGCTGGGCTCCTGCCACTCGCAAAGGGGGTCCTGGGGGGGCCGGGGGTCAGGGCCCAGCCCCGTAGAGCCCAATAGAGCCCCATAGAACCCATAGAGCCCCATAGAACCCATAGAGCCTCATAGAGCCCAATAGAGCCCCATAGAACCCCCCTGTCCCATAGAGCCCATAGGGCTCCATAGAACCTCCCCTGCTCCACAGATCCCATAGAAATCCCCTGCCCCATAGATTCCCATAGAGTTCCATAGAACCCCCTTGCCCCATAGATGCCATAGAGCCCCATAAACCTCCCCTGTCCCATAGATCCCCATAGATCCCATAGACCCCCCCCAGTCTCATAGATCCCATGGAGCACCATAAAAACACCCAGCCCCATAGATCCCATAGAGGTCCATAGAAACCAACCCTGCCCCATAGAGCCCACCCCAGGCTCATAGGTCCCATACAGCCCCATAGAACCAACGAACCACATAGAACGCCACAGCCCCATAGATCCCATAGAGCCCCAAAGAACCCCCCACAGCCCCATAGAGGCTGCCCCACCCCCCCAGGCCCCGCCCCCTCACTCAGGCTCCTCCCACCACCCCTCCCCATTCCCATTTATGGCGCCCCCTTAAGCCCCCCCCATTTCCTTTTATGGCATTGCCCCCTTAAGCCCCACCCCATTCTCTTTTATGGCACCCCCTTAAGTCCTGCCTCCTTTAGCCCCGCCCCATTGCCTTTAATGGCGCCACCCCCTCAAGCCCCGCCCCTCACCGCGGCGCAGGCCCCGCAGTCCCGGTGCTCCTCGCAGAGGCCGCAGTTCCCGGGGGTCAGAACGAGGCGAGGCCCCGCCCCCTCCTCCTTCCCCTCCTCCGCTCCCCCAGCGCAGGCTCCGCCCCTTTCCCCATTGGCCCCTCCCAAGGAGGGCGGGGCCAGGCGCTCGTGGCACGTGGCTGTGGGCGGGCACCAGCCACACGATTGGTCAGCCAGGCAGGCCAAGCACGTGGGGTGGGCGGAGCAAGAGCCGGGGGCAGAGCGCCAGGGCTCCAGGAAGAAGAAGGAGATCTCCTATGGGGGAGGGGGAAATGGGGGTCAATGGGGGCAATGGGGGGTAATGGGGGGTCAATGGAGCAATGCGAGCAATGGGGGGCAATGGGGGGAATGAGGGGCAATGGGGTTAATGGGGGTCAATGGGGGGCAATGGGGGCAATGGGGAGCAATGGGGGCATTCGGGTCAATGGGGTCAAAGGGAGCAATAGGGGTCAATGGGGGCAATGGGAGTCAGTGGGGGACAATGGGGGTCAATCGGGCAATGGGAGTCAGTGGGGGTCAATGGGGCAATGCGGTCAATGGGGAGCATTGGCGGCCAATGGGGGCAATGGGGTCAATGTGGGTCAATGAGGTCAATGGGGGGTAATGGGGGGCAAGGGAGGAAATGGGAGACAATGGGGGACACCAAATCCCAAGGACCCTGCCCCCCAACCTCTGCCCCATAGCCCCCCATAGCCCCCCCATGCTCCCCCCCCCGAAGTCACGTGACTCACGCTGCCGCCAGGCACCCCGGTGCGGTCCCACACGAGGCTGAGCTCGCTGCGTGGCCCCGCCCCCGAGCCGGTCACGTGACCCTCCACCTCCAGCGCGTAGCGGCTGCCCCGCCAGGGGGCGCCAAAGAGCCGCCCCCCCCGCGGCCGCTGCAGGGGCCGGGACTGGCGCTGGTCCCGCACCGAGAAGCGACCCACTTCTTCCTATGGGGCACAGGGGACCCATAGCGACCCATAGAGACCCATAGAGACCCATAGAGACCCCATAGAGACCCCATAACAACCCATAGAGACCCATAGAGACCCCATAGAGACCCCATAGCGACCCATAGAGACCCCATCCTCACCATCTCGGTGCTCCCAGGGCTCCGTCCCAGCCTGGCGACCACCAGGAGCCCTTGGGCCCGGGCCCAGACGTGGGGCCCGAGGCCAGGGGGGGCGGGGGGGCTCAGCAGGGGGTGAATGAAGCCCCGGTAGACGAGGGTGACCCCAGCCCCTCCCCCCGCCGCCGGGTCCGCCCCTCCCCCTCCCGGCGAGCTCAGCGTCACCGTGGTGCTGCGCACGATGGAGACCTGCGGGGGGGGAGGGAAGGCACCATTGACCCCCATTGATACCCATTGATATCCACTGATACCCGTTGACACCCATTGATATCCATTGACACCCACTGATACCCACTGACACCCATTGATATCCATTGACACCCACTGATATCCATTGACACCCATTGACACCCATTGATACCCACTGACACCCATTGATACCCTTTGACACCCATTGATACCCATTGATACCCATTGACACCCACTGACACCCATTGACACCCATTGATACCCATTGATACCCATTGACACCCATTGATACCCATTGACACCCACTGACACCCATTGATACCCATTGACACCCATTGATACCCATTGACAGCCATTGGCCAACAGTGAGAGCCCATTGAGATAAATGAGTGCCATTGAGGTCAATGGAGAGCAATGGGCTCTCAGAAGCCCAAAGTGCCCCATAGCACCCCATAGCCCCCAATAGCACCCCATAGCGCCCCATAGCCCCCAACAGCCCCCCATAGCCCCCCATAGCCCCCAATAGCACCCCCTAGCGCCCACCTTGTCCGGCTGGGAGTCGTTGCGCGGGTGCTGGAACATGAGGAGGTGCAGGCCCGGCTGGAAGCTGCGGGTGCGGCACTGGGACAGCGCCGAGACCAGCACCGAATGCGGCCCCCACCACCCATGGGTGCCCGAGAGCTGCCCCACGCGGCAGGCGTCGGCCTCTAGGGGGCAACGGGGAGCCATGGGAGCCACAGACACCCCTTGGCAGCCATTGACCCCCATTGATACCCATTGATATCCATTGACAGCCATTGATATCCACTGACAGCCACTGATACCCATTGATATCCATTGACAGCCATTAACAGCCATTGACACCCATTGATACCCATTGATATCCACTGACAGCCATTGACAGCCATTGATACCCATTGATATCCATTGACAGCCATTGATATCCACTGACAGCCACTGATACCCACTGATATCCATTGACAGCCATTGATATCCACTGACAGCCACTGATACCCATTGATATCCATTGACAGCCATTGACAGCCATTGATACCCATTGATATCCATTGACAGCCATTAACAGCCATTGATACCCATTGATATCCATTGACAGCCATTGACAGCCATTGATACCCATTGATATCCATTGACAGCCATTGTTGATACCCATTGATATCCATTGACAGCCATTAACAGCCATTGATACCCATTGATATCCATTGACAGCCATTGACAGCCATTGATACCCATTGATATCCATTGACAGCCATTAACAGCCATTGATACCCATTGATATCCATTGACAGCCATTAACAGCCATTGATACCCATTGATATCCATTGACAGCCATTGACAGCCATTGATACCCATTGATATCCATTGACAGCCATTAACAGCCATTGATACCCATTGATATCCATTGACAGCCATTAACAGCCATTGATACCCACTGATATCCACTGACAGCCATTGACAGCCATTGATACCCATTGATATCCATTGACAGCCATTAACAGCCATTGACACCCATTGACACCCATTGATATCCACTGACAGCCATTGATATCCATTGATATTCATTGACAGCCACTGATACCATTGACCCCCATTGATATCCATTGATATTCATTGATATCCATTTACCCCCATTGATAACCATTGACCCCCATTGACACCCATTCCCCTATTGACCCCATTACCCCATTGCCCCCCACTGCCCCCCAGTGCCCCATTCCCCCCTCACCATCCAGGGGCACGCAGGTGTCGTTCTGCACGCACCAGCCCAGGGCTCCGGGGGTGTGGGGGGGCCCCGGCCCGGCTCCCCCAAAGGCCAGGCAGGATTCGCAGTCCCCAAGGAGGCGCCAGAGCCCCCGGCACCCCGAGAGGGGGCACTGGGTGGGGGGGCAGAGTCAGTGGGAGCCAATGGGAGCCCCTCAGCCCCACTGACACCAATGGGACCCCATTGACCCTAATGGGACCCCATTGAGACCAATGGGACCCCAATAACCCCAATGGGAGCCCCTGCTTCCCATTGACACCAATGGGGTCCCATTGATCCCAATGGGAGCCCCTCAGCCCCATTGACAGCAATGGGGGCTCTGCCCATTCCATATCACCTCCATCCCCATCACCCCCCATTACCCCCATTCCTCCATCACCCCGTTAACCCCATATTCCCCCATAGCCCCCCATTCCTGCCCTTTCCTCCATCACCCCCATTACTACATAGCCCCCATTCTCCCCATTACCCCATAGCCCCCATTCCCCCCCATTCCCCCATAGCCACCATTCCCCCCATACGCCCCATTCCTCCCCCATAGCCCCCCATTCCCTCATAGCCCCCATTTGCCCCATTACCACATTGACCCCCATTCCCCCATAGACCCCATTCCCCCCCATTCCCCGCATAGCCCTCATTCCCCCATAGCCCCCCATTCCCACATTACCCCATTGACCCCCATTCCCCCCATTCCCCCATAGCCCCCATTCCCCCATTGACCCCCATTACCCCATAGCTCCCATTCCCCCCCTTACCCTGCTCTGGGGTCCCTGCTTGCGGCACCCCCCCCCGCACCACCCGCATTGGGGGTCCCGGCTGCAGGCGCCGGGCTCCGGGTACAGCTCGCAATGGTCCCGCCGGGCCTGGGCCGAACCAAAGCACTCAACAGGGGGGGACGGGGGCATGGGGACCCCAAAAATGGGGGGGAGGGGCATAAAACACACGGGGGGGACCCACACGTGTGGGGGGAGGGGTATAAAATAGGGGGGGTGGGGGAGAGGGGAGGATGGGGGTAACGGAATGCACACATGAAACCCCCCCCCCCGGGTGGGGAATGGAAGGGGCCGGAGGGGAAAGCAAGGGAGGGGTTAAAGGGGGTTTGGGCTGGTTTGAGGGGGGTTTGGGGGCAATTTTGGGGCATTTTGGGTGGATTTATACAGTTTGGGGCAATTTCAGGCGATTTTGGGGCAGTTTGGGGTCATTTTGGGGTCAATTTGGGTCATTTTTGAGGTCTTCTGGGGTCAATTTGGGTCATTTTTGGGTCAATTTCAGGCAGTTTTGGGTCATTTTTGAGGTCTTCTGGAGTAAATTTGGGTCATTTTTGGGTCACTTTCAGACAGTTTTGGGTCAATTGGAGGTGATTTTGGGACAGCTTTGGGTCAGTTTTGGGTCAATTTAGGCCATCCTGGGGTCATTTTGGGTTGTTTTGGGGTCATATTGGATCGTTTTGGGGTCGATTTCGGGCAGTTTTTTGTTGATTTGAGGTGGCTTGGGGGCAGCTTTGGGTCAATTCCAGCCAGTTTTGAGTCATTTGGGGTCAATTTCAGGTGATTTTGTGTCCATTTCACCCATTTTGAATCATTTTCGGTGAATTACAGACGATTTAGGTTCATTTTGGCTCAACTTGGGTCTATTTCGGGCGATTTTGCGTCATTTTGGGTCAATTTCACACAATTTTGGGACAATTTGGGCCATTTTGGGCCAATTTCACACGATTTTGGGGCAATTTGGGCCGATTTTGGGTCATTTTGGGCCAATTTCACATGATTTGGGGCAATTTGGGCCAATTTCACACGATTTCGGGTCATTTTGGGCCAATTTCACGCGATTTTGGGGCATTTGGGATCATTTTGGGTCCGTTGGGGTGACTCACGCCGGGCCCCTCCCCCGCCCAGGCGAAGCGGGGCAGTTTGTAGGCGATGACGTCACCGAGGGCGGTCCCGCTGAAGCCCCCGGCCACCAGGAGCACCCCTCCCCCCAGGGCGGCGGCCACGTGACCAAAGCGGCCCCGCGGTGGGGGCGGGGGGGGTGGGGCGGAGCCGGGCTCCTCGGGGTCACCTGGGGTAAAGGTCAGCCCGGGGTCAGCCCCACATCAACCACCCCAGATATCCCATAATAAGCCATATCCACAGCCTCCATTGCCCCCATAGCCCCCATTACCCCCATAGCCCCCATTACCCCCACAGCCCCCATAGCCCCCATAGCCCCCATTACCCCCACAGCCCCCATAGGGCCCATACCCGCCTGCAGCTCCTCGGGGCTCACCCACTGGTGGCAGCCCAGGTGGTAGAAGAAGACCCCGTCCTCGTAGCACTTCTCCTCCTCGTAATGGGCATGGACGTGGCCCCCTATGGATGCACCCAGGGGGGCTCCATGGGGCCCTAGAGGCTCTCACATAGCCCCCAGCTAGGCTCCTATACACAGCCCCATACATCCCCTAGAGAGGTCCCTATGGGCTCTCTCACCAGAGTGCATCCTGTAGTCCCCTATAGCCCCTGTACGTCCCTATGCACCCCTACGTATGCTTCTCCAGTCACCATAGACCACCATGTAGTCCCCCATATCCCTATATCCCCCTATACACCCCTATATAAGCCCTACAGAGCACCCTATACACCCTCATATCCCCCATATAAGCCCTATACAACCCTATTCAGGCTGTCTCACCATAGAGCACAGTGTAGTCCCCTATATCCCCCCATACACCCCTATAGTCCCCTATACCACCCCATACACCCCTAGACTCCCCCATACCCCCCTATATCCCCCCATAGACCCCCATAGGGATGCTCCTGTCTCACCATACAGGACCATGTATCCCCCCATATCCCCCATAGACCCCTATGGGGATGCTCTCTCACCATACAGGACCATGTAGCCCCCCATATTCTCCATAGACCCCTATGGGGTGCTCTCTCACCATACAGGACCATGTAGCCCCCCATACCCCCCATAGACCCCTATGGGGTGCTCTCTCACCATACAGGACCATGTAGCCCCCCATACCCCCCATAGACCCCTATGGGGACCCCCACTCTCTCACCATACAGGACCATGTAGTCCCCGAGCAGGCTCGCGCTGTGGAACGCGCGCTCCCGAGGCCCCGCGGCTCCTCCGCGCTCCCGCAGCGCCACCCAGTGGCGGCGATCAACGTGGAACAGGTGCGTGTGGTTCACGCGGGAGCTGAACCTGCGCCCCACAGAGACCCCATAGACACCCCACACCGACCCATAGGGACCCATAGACACCCCATACCGACCCACAGCGACCCAGAGGGACCCATAGACACCCCATACCGACCCATAGGGACCCATAGACACCCCATACCGACCCACAGCGACCCAGAGGGACCCATAGACACCCCATACCGACCCACAGCGACCCATAGGGACCCATAGACACCCCATACCGACCCACAGCGACCCATAGGGACCCATAGACACCCCACACCGACCCACAGCGACCCATAGGGACCCATAGACACCCCATACCGACCCACAGCGACCCATAGGGACCCATAGACACCCCACACCGACCCATAGGGACCCATAGGGACCCATAGACACCCCAATAACCCCCATAGGACCCATAGGGACCCATAGACACCCCATACCGACCCACAGGACCCATAGGGACCCAGACAGAGTGACCGACCCATAGAGCCCATAGGGACCCATAGACACCCCACACCGACCCACAGCGACCCATAGGGACCCATAGACACCCCACACCGACCCATAGGGACCCATAGGGACCCATAGACACCCCATACCGACCCACAGCGACCCATAGGGACCCATAGACACCCCATAGAGACCCCATAGAGACCCTGTGAGACTCCTGTGGCACTATACTGCCCCCTGCTGGCCACGCTTCAACACGCCGCCTGCACTCCCCTGTAGCCCTCCATAAGCACCCCAAAGACCCCATAGAAAGCCATTAGTGACCCACAGAGACCCCAGAGACACCCATAGAAACCCATAGAAACCCATAGAGACCCCATAGAGACCCCATAGAGACCCATAGAGACCCATAGAGCCCCCACAGAGACCCACAGAGCCCCATAGAGACCCCATAGACACCCCATAGAGCCCCATAGACACCCCATAGAGCCCCACAGAGCCCCATAGACACCCCATAGACCGGCCCCATAGACACCCCATAGACCACCCCTGTGCCCCATAGACACCCCATAGACACCCCATAGACACCCATAGAGCCCCATAGAGCCCCATAGACACCCCATAGAGCCCCACAGACACCCCCTAGAGCCCCACAGAGCCCCATAGCCCCCCCTAGAGCCCCACAGTACCTGGCAGTGGCCGGGCGGTGCCCACCATAGAGGATGAGGGCACGGGAGGGGGGGTGGAAGAGCAGGGAATGGCCGGCGGCCGCCGGGGCCTTCCCCCCCCAGGGCTCCACCCGCTCCCAGCGGCCCCCGCGCAGGGGGAAGCGGAAGAGGAGGGAGGAGAAGAGGTCGTGGGGGGTGCGGCCTGCGGGGGGCACGAGGGGTCAGAGAGGGGTCAGAGAGGGGTCAGAGAGGGGTCATAGGGGGGTCAGAGAGGGGTCAGAGAGGGGTCAGAGAGAGGTCAGAGAGGGGTCAGAGAGGGGTCATAGGGGAGTCAGAGAGGGGTCATAGGGGGGTCAGAGAGGGGTCATAGGGGGGTCAGAGAGGGGTCATAGGGGGGTCATAGAGGGGTCAGAGAGGGGTCATAGGGGGGTCAGAGAGGGGTCATAGGGGGGTCATAGGGGGGTCAGAGAGGAAGAACAATGGGGTAATGATGGGTAATAAAGAGGATAATATAGGAACAATATAAGGATAATGAAAGGATAATACACGGATAATAACAGGATAACATAATAACAGGATAATGAGAGGATAATGAGAGGATAATGAGAGGATAATGATGGGATAATGAGAGGATAATGATGGGATAATGATGGAATAACCACTGGATAACAATGGGATAACGATGGGGTAACAATGGGGTAACAATGGGGTAACAATGGGGTAACAATGGGGTAACAATGGGGTAACAATGGGGTAACAATGGGGTAACAATGGGGTAACAATGGGGTAACAATGGGGTAACAATGGGGTAACAATGGGATACCAGAGGGATAGAGATGGAAAAATGACGGGATAACAATGGGGTACAATGGGATAACAATGGGGTACCATAGGGCACCATTGAGACCCATGCAATCCCCCGCCCCAACAAGCCCAGCCCACCTCCGAACACGTAGAGCCAATCATCGACAACGGCCACGGCGTGAGCAGCCAATCCCGGCGGGGTGTGGGCGGGGTCTCCACCGGGCAGGGGGCGGAGCTCCCGCCAGCCCCGCCCCTCGGGCTCCAGGCTCCACACGTCATTGGCCAGCGCGCCCCCCGCCAGCTCCCCCCCCATCAGCACCAGGCTTTGGCGCCACCTAGCGGCCGCGTGCGAGTGCCTGGGGGGCTGCGGGGGGGGAGGAGGGAACAGCCGGGTGAGGGGGGCTATGGGGCAGGCAATGGGGTCTATGGGGCAGGCAATGGGGGCTATGGGGGGTATAGGGGGCATTGGGGCTATGGGGCAGGCAATGGGGGCTATGGGGCAGGCAATGGGGGCTATGGGGCAGGCAATGGGGGCTATGGGGCAGGCAATGGGGGCTATGGGGGCTATAGGGGGCATTGGGGGTATGGGGCTGCCCATAGGGGTATGGGGCAGGCAATGGGGGCTACGGGGCAGGCGATGGGGGCTATGGGGGGTACAGGGGGTATGGGGGCTATGGGGCTGCCTATGGGGGGTGTGGGGCAGGCAATGGGGGGTGTGGGGCAGGCAATGGGGGGTATGGGGCGCTCACCGGCTGGAGGCTGAGGTTCAGTTGCTGCCATTGGTTGGTGCTGAGGTTGTAGACGACGAGGTCACCGAGCACCGAGTTCAGGTCCAGGCCTGGGGGGGAACAGAGACCCCATAGAGACCCCATAGAGACCCCATTGAGACCCCATGGAGACCCCATGGAGACCCCATGGAGACCCCATAGAGACTCCATAGAGAGCCCATAGAGACCCCATTGAGACTCCATACGGACCCATAGAGCCCCCATAGAGCCCCATAGAGACCCACAGAGCCCCACAAAGACCGTATCCATCCCCATTTCACCCCCCCCATCCAGCAGGGGGCGCCGCTGACCTCCGAAGACGTAGAGGGCGCCGGTGTGGGGCAGGAAGGCGCCGGCGGCAGCGGTGCGGGGCCGGAAGCTGGGGTGGGCGGGGCTCACCGGGTACCAGCGCCCCCCTCTGGACGGGAGGCCCAGCTCCAGCTCGCAGCTCAGCCCCACATAGCCCGGGCGGCACTCGCAGAGCCCTGAGACCTGGGACCCACAGGGACCCATAGGGACCCACAGGGACCCATAGGGACCCATTGGGACCCATTGACCCCCATTGATGCCCATTGACTCCCATTGCTCCCCCATCGTCCTCCACTGACTCCCATTGCCCCCTATTGACTCCAATTGACTCCCATTGCTGCCCATTGCCCCTCATTGACTCCCACTGCTCCCGCATTGATTCCCATTGACCCCCACTGCCCCCCATTAATACCCATTGACCCTCATTGCCCCCATTGATTCCCATTGCCCCCCATTGACGCCCATTGACCCCCATTGACTCCCATTGCTCCCCCATTGATGCCCATTGACTCCCATTGCTCCCCCATCGTCCTCCACTGACTCCCATTGCCCCCTATTGACTCCAATTGACTCCCATTGCCGCCCATTGCCCCTCATTGACTCCCACTGCTCCGCATTGATTCCCATTGCCCCCCACTGCCCCCCATTGATCCCCATTGACCCCCATTGCCCCCATTGATTCCCATTGCCCCCATTGACGCCCATTGACCCCCATTGCCCCCATTGACTCCCATTGCTCCCCCATTGTTCCCCATTGCCTCCCATTGTTGCCCATTGTTCCCCATTGCCTCCCATTGTCTCCCATTGCCCCCCATTGTTGCCCATTGCCCCCCATTGCCTCCCATTGCTCCTCACTGATGCCCATTGACCCCCACTGCCCCCCCATTAATACCCATTGACCCTCATTGCCCCCATTGATTCCCATTGCTCCCCCATTGACGCCCATTGACCCCAATTGCCCCCATTGACTCCCACTGCTCCCCCATTGATGCCCATTGACTCCCATTGACCCCCATTGACCCCCATTGACTCCCATTGCTCCCCCATTGATGCCCATTGACTCCCATTGACCCCCATTGCTCCCCCATTGATGCCCATTGACCCCCATTGCCCCCCACCTCATTGCAGGTCCCCCCGGGGGCCTTGCAGGAGGCGGAGCAGCGAGGTTGGGAGCAGTCGGCCCCCCCCCAGTGGGGCCCGCAGTGACAGCGCCCCCTGGCGTCGCAGCGGCCCCGGCCCCAGCACCCCCCGGGGCAGGGCCAGGCCCGGAAGGAGGCGGCGAAACCCCCCCGGTTGTAATTGGGGTCACTGAAGAGCTGCACCAGGAGCTGGGGGGAGAGACCCAGAGAGACCCATAGGGACCCCATAGAGACCCATAGGGACCCATAGGGACCCATAGGGACCCATAGAGACCCATAGGGACCCCATAGAGACCCATAGAGACCCATAGGGACCCCATAGACACCCATAGGGACCATAGAGACCCACAGAGACCTCATGAAGACCCATAGGGACCTCATAGAGACCCAGAGAGACCCCATAGAGACTCATAGGAACCACACAAAGACCTAGAGTGACACATAGCGACTCCATAGAGACCCCACAGCGACCCATAGACCTCCATAGAAACGCGTAGAGCCGCCATAGAGACCTTAAGAGACCCCATCGACACTACAGATACTCCATAAGAGACCATAGAGCCCCGTAGAACCCCAGAGAGCCCACAGAGACCCACAGAAACCCATAGATGCCCATAGACACGAACTGAAACCATAGAGACACCCTAGAGACACCACAGAGCCCCCGCAGGCGCCATGGCGGCCGCGCTGTAGCGCCCCCTACCTGTCCGGAGGTGGCGCGCAGGGGGGGTGGGGCGCGGCTGCCGCTGAGGCTGGCGAGGCGCGGGGAGCGGGGGGAGGGGCCGTCAAAGACCGAGACGAGGTCGAAGCCGCACTCGGTGTCCAGGGAGGAGAAAGCGAGAACGAGGCTGAGCCCCGGGGGGGCTGGGGGGGAGGGGTTAATGGGGGGGGAGTTAATGGGGGGAGGGGTTAATGAGGGTATGGGGGGAGGGGTTATGGGGGGGTTATGGGGGAGGGTGGTAGTGGGAGGGGTCGATGGGAGGGGTTAATGGGGGGGGAGTTAATGGGGGTTTGGGAGGAATGGGAGGGAGGGGTTAATGGGGGTTTGGGGGAAAGGGTAGAGGGGCTACAGGGGGAGGGAAGAATGGGGAGGAAAGGTTAATGGGGGAGGGGTTAATGGGGGGGAGGGGTTAATGGGGGGGGGGTTAATGGGGGGGAGGGGTTAAGGGAGGTTTGGGGGGAATGGGGGGGAGAGGTTAATGGGGGAGGGATTAATGGGGGAGGGGCTAAAGAGGGGTATTGGGGAATGGGAGAGGGGTTAAGGGGGGGAGGATGGGGGCATAGGGGAGGATGGGGGCATGGGGGAATGGGGTCCCCCCACACACTCTATCATCCCCCGCATAGGTCTCTATAGGGCTCTATAGCCCCCCAGTAGGGCCCCCTAGGCTACCCCATAGGGCTCTATAGCCCACCCCATAGCCCCCCCCAGTCCCCCCCAAGCTCTCACCGCGCAGCAGCCATTGGCAGCTCCCACTCACGGAGTAGTTCCCGGGGCCGTCGGTGACGACCCCCGCCGGGCCCCACAGCTCCAGGCGCTGCCCCACACATGGGCCCCCTGCCACGGCCCGCACCCACAGGACCCACAGGGCCCATAGGGGCCAATGGGGCCATGGCACCCGCATCCTGTAGGAGGCAAGAGACAGGGGTCAGACCCACAGAGACCCATAGAGACCCATAAACACCCCATAGATCTGCATAGAAACCCCATGGATACCCCGCAGAAACCCAAAAACCCACAGAGACCCCATAGGGATCCCACAGAAACCCCACAGAAACCCCATTAAGGATCCCATAGAGACCCCATAGAGATCCCACAGAAACCCCATAGACACCCCATAAGGATCCCATAGAGATCCCATAGAAACCCCACAGAGATCCCACAGAAACCCCATAGAGACCCCATAGAAACCCCACAGAAAGCCCACAGAAACCCCATTAAGATCCCATAGGAACCCCATAGAAACCCCATAGAAACCCCATAGAAACCCCATAGGAACCCCATAGAAACCCCATAGAAACCCCATAGGAACCCCATAGAAACCCCATAGGAACCCCATAGAAACCCCATAGAAACCCCATAGAAACCCCATAGGAACCCCATTAAGGATCCCATAGAGACCCATAGAAACCCCATGGAGATCCCACAGAGACCCCATAGAGACCCCATAGGGATCCCATAGAGACCCCATAGAGACCCCATAGAGACCCATAGAGACCCCATAGAGACCCATAGGGACCCATAGAGACCCCATAGAGACCCCATAGAGAGCCCATAGGGACCCCATAGAGACCCCATAGAGACCCCATAGAGATCCCATAGAGACCCCATAGAGACCCCATAGGGATCCCATAGAGACCCCATAGAGACCCCATAGAGACCCATAGGAACCCCATAGAGACCCCATAGAGACCCCATAGAGACCCATAGAGACCCCATAGAGACCCATAGGGACCCATAGAGACCCCATAGAGACCCCATAGAGACCCATAGAAACCCCATAGAGACCCCATAGAGACCCCATAGAGACCCATAGAGACCCCATAGAGACCCCATAGAGACCCATAGAGACCCATAGAGACCCCATAGAGACCCATAGAAACCCCATAGAGACCCCATAGAGACCCCATAGAGATCCCATAGAGACCCCATAGAGACCCCATAGGGACCCATAGAGACCCATAGAAACCCCATAGAGACCCATAGAAACCCCATAGAGACCCCATAGAGACCCCATAGAGACCCATAGAGACCCCATAGAGACCCATAGAGACCCATAGAGACCCCATAGAGACCCCATAGAGATCCCATAGAAACCCCATAGAGACCCCATAGGGACCCATAGAGACCCCATAGAGACCCCATAGAGACCCATAGAGACCCCATAGAGACCCCATAGAGACCCCATAGAAACCCCATAGAGACCCCATAGAGACCCCATAGAGACCCCATAGAGACCCCATAGAGATCCCATAGGGAACACCCCGAAAGGCCTTCCCCCCCCCCCCGATGCTGCATCCCTCGCCCCGCCCCACACCGGGGCCACCCCCGCCCCATTGCCCCTATGGGGGCGCTATGGGGCAGGCTCCCGGCCTTTACCCGCCGGCGCTGGCGGAGCCGCGGGTCCGGAGCAGCGAGACGCCGGCGCAGAGCGGCGCCGCGCAGCGGCGTGATGACGTCAGCGGCGCGATGACGTCAGCGGCGCGGCGCGGCGGGGCATAGAGAGGAAGGGGCAGAGCGGCGACACCGCCTCCCCCCCCCCCACCTCAGTCCTCCAAAGCCCCGGAACACCAAAAATCTCCTTTTTGGACCCAAAATCGCCGCTTGGGGGGGGCCGGAGAGGGGGTCTATAGGGTCTGGTTTGGGTTGTAAGGTATTATAGCCCCATTAAACCCCATTATAGCCCCATTAAACCCCATTATAGCCCCATTATAGCCCATTATAACCCCATTATACCCCAATATAAGCCAATATAAGCCCCAATATAGCCCCATTGTACACCATTGTAGCCCATTATACCTCATTATTCCCCATTATAGCCCATTATAACCACATTTACCCCATAATAGCCCCATTACACCACATTATAACCCATTATACCCCAATTATAATCCATTATAAGCCATTATAAACAATTATACACCATTATAACCAAATTATAACCCATTTAACCCCATTATAACCCATTATAA